AGGGATCGACAACACAGAACACGGCCTCTCAGGATCCAAAGCTGATTCAAAACCAACACCAAAAAAGAAATGAAAAAGTGCATGTGTATACCACCACATGACTAGTAATCTTTATTCTTTGCATATAGTTGTACTGTATATGCACATGTTTTTGGACACATACAAATTCATTTAGTTCAAACTGAGATCTTAAAAACTCTGCCTGGCTGTGGGAATGTATGTACAATGCACATGTGCACAGAGTAAGTGTAAGTGTGGAGATGCTAAACAACTAAAGAATGTGCAAATCATGAGCATACATGATTATTCAAAGTATGCATATAATTATTTTAGAATTTACATTTAAAAGATAATTGCACTTCCGCTTCACTCCCGGTTGAGTTATTGTGAATGGTTGCCCTCTCTTTACCGCTCACTTCCCACATCATGTCCTATATATCTACCTTTTTATGCATTTATTTATGTTTTACCAAAAGGGGACCAGTAATTTGGCCTTATAACAATCAACAAACATTTGACAAGTAAAGCTACTGTGCACTTTAACTTTTTGAAATGTGGCCTGATAGCACACTAAGCAGGAATATCAAATATAGACAGTGTGCCCCTGTCTGTGGAAAACATTATTCCTAAATTGTCTCTGCTAAAACTGTAGGACTGCTAATTCTGTATAGACTTGGAAGAAAACTCCCTGCTCTGGCAGCAGCAGTGAAGAACATGCAACTTTAGGGACAATAACTACTTAACCATTTAAAAAATAGTCTACTTATTGTTAGAATCTATGAGGATTAATGTAACAAATGAATTCCCCACTTTCCACAGACTTTGTATACACAACAGTTTGGATTTGATTTGTGGACTTACTGGTGAATAATATTCATTCTAATGGTTACCACTAGCAAATGTCATCCCCTTATTTGCCTCGCAGGTAGACATGTCCTTTAACATTTTTTTTAAAGCTTTAAATACACCATGGAGACCAAAATCACAAACTTCTGTGTAAATACAGGGTTGTATTTTTACTGTTCATGGTCTTTTGGATTTATAGTGATTATGCATTGAGTATAAGCAAAGTTAACTCTCTGGGAGATGGGTTGAACAAATGATATGCTTATGTGCATACTGTACTGAACTGTGCTTTAATTTATGTGCACAAGTCATAATATTGATCACTAAAATGCTTAAAATTATTAATAATAATAAAAATAAAATATTTGTATGTCTTTGAGATTTGTGCACTGTTTAAAGCACATGACATCAATTTGAATCTTTCTGTAACTAACAACAAAACCCAGCCCAGTTCTTCACCCGGTACCTTCTCCTCACTTTATATAAAATACATGTCTGTTACTGCTTCTATGCTCCTCTGTTCGTGAGGACGACCACATACAGTATATAAAACTCCACAAACAGTCAATAATGCAACAAGCTTGTGAACTGAAATGATAGACAATCCCGTGAAACAACCCCCCTACGACTCTTAAAAAAATGATGACCCTCTGATGATGCTGCTTCTAAGACAAATAACCAATGCATTTTAAGCATGTGCAACATGGGGTTAGATTTTAAACGAACATGCCCTCTGGAAAAACATGCTCGAATATACTACTAACACAGGAAGCATCAACTTTAAGGTTAACCATAAATCCCGTTTTAAGTTAATGGTAAACGGCACTATTTGGTGACGTGGTCCTGGATACTGCATGCCTGGATCAGACTCAAAATATACCCCATGCTTAGTACGTATGTGCCTCTTCATGGAAATGGCTCTACGCACTGATAAGCATTCAGTGATTTACGCTTTGCAATAAATAATGTTTATCTGCTGCACTGCAGTGAAAAAATAACCCAGGCTGCCCTGCTCAACCATACAGTAAATGAATCACAATAAATGATCATGGGCTCAGGTCTCAGATAGCAGGCTGGAGGGGGTGTCTAACCCCTGTTCAAGCTGGAAGTAAGTGAAGTGATGCTCTCGGCGCAGCTGTGCCAAACAGCACTACATCAGGAGATGAATACATGTAATGTAACTACTGCAAAACAATAAAAAGCTATTTTAGCTGCATTTACAATTTACATATGTTGCACATGCAAGACACTATGTCTGTCTTTAAAAAAGAAATACCTCTGAAGAGTGGGACTGTCAGATACCTTCTCAGTCACAGAAGTTGTTAAATGAACCTACTGCACAGTGAAGTGTGAATATCTGGTGGTTTCTGAAATGCTGTTAATAATAATAATGTGCCTCCAGTCTTTAATCACTGGCTTAAAGCAATATGTTATAAATACGATTTTACTGGCACTTTAAAAAAATGTACTGTATATTTTTGTGTATCTATAATCTAGATGAGTGGTGGTTGTGTCACATTGTTCATCCAAGTCAGACAAGAAGAAATCAAAGAGCACACATGAGGAACTAGAAGTTTCTCTAAAGTCCCATTGAAATGGCATTGATGTCAAAACAGCATTTGATGCTGAGGAATTGCTTGGGGGTTTGATGCCTATTCGCTTTCTTGCCTAGAGTTATATTGAAACATTGACACTACTCTCCTGTCTGTCCATTGAATATGAAGAAGTTTAGCTTAGCTTAGCAAAAATGCAGGAAACACAAAGTAACCATTTCACCTGACTCTGCATAAATGTAAAAATTAAATTCACCCGCCATGACTTCTAATGCTCTCTAATCAACAAATTGTACTTCCTTTGTTTAAACTAGAGTGTAAGAATGACAAGTTGTGTTTTTACAGAAGGGTTGTATACAGGAATATTTCCTGGCCAGGAGCAGTGACTTCCTGGAGTCTTCACCGGGGGCCTAATAACCTCATGATAATTACAGGAAGCAAACAAACAAGATATAATGTCAGAGGCACAGGCTGACCCAGGGGGTGG